TCAGAGTCGATACGCGAGTGAGAACTGCAATCAGAATAAAAGCGGATCAACTAGATATCATGATACATGTTAAAAAGCGACGTGAAGTAATCCCGATTGAAGTTGGCATCACTATTCAGCATAGGTTAACAGCAATCGAGATCGAGAAGAAGCGAAAATATGACCTATTTGCTAATAAGCTTGGGTCAGAGATGAAATGCAGGACTAAACTAACTCCGTATGTTATGATTTGGGATGGGATCGTAACGAACTTTCACAAACGCTATGCGAAGGAGATTAGTATATCAGACACGTCGAGATATACATCAATCGATAGTTCTCAAGAAGACGCTTGAAAGCAGTCGATATGGATTCCACGAGGACGAAACGAGAACGATGAGTACAACAAATCTGAGCGCGGGACAAGTACTGCCAGAGTGCCGGCGACCAATAAAGCGAAGATTAAAACTAACTTCCACATTTTTTTTTCATCAGGCCCATTTTAAAATATTGCTAAAATCTTATTATATTTCTGGACAGAAACTTAAGAAGACCTGTCTGAGATTTTAACTGATTCGCATTCATATGCTCTAATTCAGCGTCCCTAATTTTCGTAATAAAAAGCGAAACAAAAGTATTTTTTTTACATTTCAAAAAATTATACAATATAGGTATGACCTTTACCCTTATAAAAAAAAGTCAAAAAATCAGAGAAAATTACTAAAGAGACTTGAATAATTTTTGAATTCTCAATAATTCATTCAACCTTTTTAATTCTATCTACTGTAAATTTCAAGGACTTGCCATGTAGGAGTCGGATTCTTTGCTTACTTTTTATTAATTACGCAGCATTGATAAGTTGTTTTGTCCACAATGCCTGAAAATAATTCCGTCCAAGCAAAAAAATTTTTTCACAGTTAAAAAAATAACAATGCTTTAGTTGTATCTGAAGCCCTGAGAATCGTAAGTTTTCAATTATTAAAAAATCTTAATTCTTTAAAATTAGTAAAAAATTTTAAGTTTAAAATTGTCAAAAATCTTAGCTCTTTTAAAAATTTTGGTTACAATACATATATTATTTCCAATTTTCAAAGTGATATAAAAAACAAAAAATTTCCATTACTTATCATTTTTATGTTCCAACGAGATTTTAACTTGTTTTTAGCAATGCTATTTAAACTAAGCACTTACAAATGGAATTAAAACTTCGTCTCACTGCAGGAGTGATTCAGAGGCACTGAAATGATTCTGGCTGCTTTTGAAAATCACATTACACTGCTTAGTAGTTAATAAACTAAAAGCTTTCTCGGAAAACAAATATAAATAATAAGGAATAAAAAAAGCACAAACAGAACTTAACATCAAAATCTAAACAGCAATAATCACCACAAAACCACAAATGCAAAAATCAAACCAGCAAATAATTCGAAGAAAAAATTACATAAAATTACACAAAATTACTTCTACAGTTTGCTGTGGATTGAAAGTATTTACAAAAATAACAAAGCATATTCTTGTAGAAACAATATCAAATTAATATAGCATTATCATGAAGCACAATTAGCAATTTAAAAAAAAAATTGCGTTATGGTCGCTTCTTCCTTCACGTGTGTGCAGAAGATCATGAAGTCCTTCTGGCGCTTTTAACATCGTCTGCGATGCCGGTGAGTTCTGATGTTTGCCTAGTCCTATCGCAAAACCTATAAATTGATGCATACGATGAAAATAGATAAAAATTATACTTTGATATATCCAAAAACTTTTTATACATATGGCATCTTGCTAATTCATGTAATTGAAAAATGCATTGAAAGAAGAGATCACACCTGAAGGAAAGTAAAATTGCATAGTATTCCTTTTCAGCACTCTTAAGTATTCTGCCTCATCTGCTCTTTGACGTAAAGAGCGTGCTTCAACTCAAGAGCAGCGCTCTAGCTGATGCGCTTTCACTAAAAATCTGAAAAATAAATTGTGAATATTTTCAAGCGAATTCCCTAAATGACAAAAATTGTTATTTTCTCTATAAAATAAAAAATATCTTGGCTTCGGAGACGGAACACGTCGCCAGAAGCATTACTTGGTAGCAGTAGCGATGGCAGTAACCTAAAAAGCAGCGAAATCAAGTCAATCTAATTTTATATAACAGTTTCGCTTTTTAAAAAAACATAAGCATTCAACTGACTGATTGTCAAGAGTCTTGGAAACTTACTATCGAGAACGTGAGCAGCCGTATGCACCACGTGAAGTTTGCATACCCCCAGGGATGCGAACGACTAGCTGCGCAATAGGGGGCAGTGTGCGAGATTAATCTGTACATAGATTTACTGGTTGTATTTATTTGTAAAGTTTATAGTTTTTCTGATATTCAACATGAAAATTACAATGTATTAAAAACTTACGCACTACACCATCTCGCACGATATATAGATGATTTATTAGTAGCCGTAATTCTTCCTGTAGCCCCGGTTTGAAGTCCGGTGCTTCATAACCGGGAGTAAACTGAGTCGTTGATGCTGCAGCACTAGACGAAAAACTGCACCCATGACTGCGCCTGAAAAATCCATTTTGGAGTCATGAATTTGTTTGTATTTAACCATGTAAACAAAAACATACAATTCAAAATAGGAAATATTAATACTTACAGTTTTGCGCGGTAGTTCGGGTTCAACTCGACTTTGGAAAGGCGCTTTCTTTGAAGCCACACTTCCGTTGTGGAGTTCTGTAAAAGTTAAGTCATGACACACTCATGACACACACTTTAAAAACAGAAAGAAGAAACTTTATAACCAAGTACCGACTTTAATAAATACATAAAATCGGACTTGGTGTATGCCATGACCTTGATGTGTACTTCCTGTGGAAGGTGCCCCACTTGCCCAATCGCCTGACACAGTGCATGGAACGTTATTCAGGTGCGTTGTCGCATGCATCTCAGGCCGCGGTGAAGCGACTTCTGTTTCTACACCACTGCCTGCCTGAGATTGCATGGTTTATCAATTATTTCTTGCTGTCCTCACGTAAATTTACGTAAAAAAATATTTTTTTTAAACAGTGCATTATTTATTGATTGCCTGCCTCCAAAATGACGGGATTTCTGAAAGTGGAGTCGAAAATCTCATACTCACTCCACTTGGTCTAGCCTCATATTGCAAAATAATCTGATCTCAGTTATAAAAATATTTTATTTGAAAAACAATGTAGAAAATGCCTTGCTTCTGAAATTAAAATAAGATCGACTTACTGTGCTGCTATCATCGTCGTCCGGCAATTTTTCCTATCTTGGGAATCCGCATTTAATTGCAATTGCAATCATTTAATACAGAATGAGAACAAATGTGGATTCCCAAAATAGGAAAAATTTTGAGTGAGTGAAACATGAATAAATGAATGATGTACGAATTGTGAACATTTTGGTTGCTAAACAATTTCGAACCTCAAACTTCAGTCATATTAACTTTCCAGCTAGTTGTTAGCTATTAGAGTTTTCAGTCAAGTAATTCTCTCATAAATTTCTGAATTTGGCACTACATTCATCGCTATTTTGATTGCTTCTACTCAGTACCATGCTTTGATTCGTTTTTGTCTAATGAAGTTGCATTTGAATGTTCAAGCAATGGGAGGGAACTTGCTGTGAAATGTCATTTAGAAGTAACCTGAATATATTTTGTGACAAAAAATTATTCACGACGTGCGCAAGTTTCACTTTAATTTACAGGATCGTGAGTGTGGTCCTGCGTGAGAGCGTGGTTCCGCATCTCTGTTGTTCCTTATGTGTTCCTGTCTCCTCGCGCTTGTAATGTCCCGTGTAGTCCCACGTGTCTGTGATGGTCCTTATGCGTGCCTTTCCCAGCGTGTATGTGATGTCCCTAATGTGATCACTCAAAATAACATACCTTGTTTCAAACTTTGTAAAATTGAAATATACTTTAAACTTGCAAAATTAAATTCCCCTCTTTTTTCTCCCATGCATTAGAATAGGCGTTACCTGCCTTCACTAAATTCCTTATTGTAATTTCCAACACATTTTTTTTTCGAGATGTAACTCGATATCAGCACTGACAGGCTGCTTTCCAATAAAAAAAAGCTCTTATTTACTTCATTTAAGATTATATAAATGCGTTTATTCTGAATGATGTTTTGACTTGGGGTTCTGATTTTCAACTGTTTTGAATGACATGCAATAAGGCGCAAGGAATATGAAAAAAGAGATTAATATATGAATAATAGATGGATTAAAAAAAGATGAAAAAATAACAATGAAATAAGTAAAAGAAAGAGATGCCTAGAAAAAATAAGTTGGAAGTTTGAGGTACTAAGAGGGAGTAATATGAAATAAGTGAGAAAAATGTAATTATTGGAAAAAGAATATGGATGAGGAAATTAGCAAGATAGAAATAATTAGGCAGGTTGAAGTTGTTATTCAATTCGTGTTAAATTGTCAACGATGTTTCTTTATGTTTCTTTAATTGTGCATTGTGTTTGATAATAATTTTAGCAAATTACTGTTTGAGTTTATATCGTATACTTGTTGTATATTATTTAACTTGTTCTGTTTTTGATTCTGAGTGAAACTGAGCATCACAAATGCATTTATGATTCATCTTTCCAATTTTAGACTAAAATTTTTATATGCTAATTTATCAGTCAATTCTGCAGATATCCACAGACTTCCAAAAATATCAGCAGGTCTGCATATTTGTATACAACATGTATATACAGATAACAGATGTATTAACCACACACACACATGCAATATAAATAAAAGACGTATAAACATGCATTTATAAGTGAAAGACTTAAGCTTCTGATCAGTCATGAATGCTTGAACACATGCACAATGTTAAAAAATCAAACGTGAGCTTGTACCACTATCATAGATATGAGTCTGCAGATATTTGTAATGGACAAGGACGGATACACTCGAAAACACGCATAACTTGTCTTGAACTTGCATACACATATACATTCAAATTCGAGCACATGGGGATGCAAGCACATGCACGCAAAAATACATGGATTACTTGTTCACACCCAAACTCAGCACACGCACAAATACATGGAATGGTTGTTCACACCCAAAATCTCAGCACACGCACGCACACCTAGAATACAAACACTAATACAAACAGAAGCAAGCGGTTTCCTATGCATACGCACACATATACAATTGTGAAGTGTGGCGCTCATATTCTTGTTTTTCTTGCTTCGAATTCTATGTCGTATAAATTTGTAGTATGGAACTGCAACTGCCGTTGAATTTGTTCAATTTTAAAGACGCTAGAATTATGTCTCAAACCTTGGACGACATTTTAACGATAATCAGAGGTCCACATGCAAAAGTTGTCAACTTCAATTTCATTTAGAAGCTACCACAATAAGTATGAATTATTATAGTGAAACAAATCTTTTCAAATTGTTGTAGGGACCATTCAATGTAAGAGAAAGATACTCCTTCTAATGAGTACAAAAAACTGCACCGCAGTTGTAGATATGGGGTTTTTTTACTTAAGCATATTTTTGATAAACGCTTATTTTTATAAAAAAACAGTAGTAATAATGACAAATAGCTTAATTTGACAAACTGCTTGATAAATTACAGCATATGTTTCTTATTTAAGTGATGTGGAATACAATTTTATATGAATGACTCAATAAACACAATAAATTGTAAAATCGGTCTTAAGATATTAATTATCAAGTTCAAAATCATCTGAGGTACATTGGAACACTTGGTATTTCCTTGATCTTTTTTTTAATTTTTTGAGTCATTCATGTCAGTTTGCTGGCGTCGTTGAGCTTTCAAAAATTGCATTCAACCATTACAAACGACTTGAATTTATTGTGAGCACTTGAAATTTAGATATAGCAAAATGAAAAAGTATGGAAAATTTTTTGATCACTTTTTTTCATTTTTATTCAAGTTCATACTTAATGTTAATACAAATAAAATTATCATCTTTTCAATTTTTGAACCTGATTCCAGAAGGCAAAAAATTTAAGATGTCGATCAAATCTAATAAAACATACCGATGTTAAGTTCTTAGATTTATCATTTACTAATTAGTCACTTAATTGCGAAGTTAGTTTTGAAGTTCGAATTGTAAAAAATTTATTGTTATTTGTTTAAAAAATTGGATTATTTATTGCTCACCGAATCACTTAATGTTATTAAAAGCAGTAAGCTGCAGAAAAACGATTACATTACCAATCAATATGATACGTTTTTAGTTTGCTCTCAAAACAGCTAAACTTGAGAGCAAGCAAAAAACAAGGAGAAATGATACTATTTAATTTATTCTAATACTGCACAAAACAGTTTTTAGAAACATTTTATTTTATTTCCACAGGTAGTTTATCTTGTAGACATACTGTAAAAAATTTTACCGACATATAGGATTGACAAACCTTCCTCCAAGACTGTTCTCTTATTGATAACGACATCACATAACACACTTAACAAAGTTGAAGAGTAACATATCAATTATTAGTTCGTCTGAGGTAAAGACTTTTGAGGATTCTCGTCAAATAATTCACATCTATTTGATCAGACTTCAAGATAACTTCTTTCCCTAGCGCAATTTTCGCCCTAAGAAATGGCAAAAATGTTTTTGTCTTTTGATTCTTGCAAAAACAAAAACAACTGATCTTTTTCCATCGTTAAAATACTACAGATGAAAAAAGTATGGAAAAATTTTTGATCACTTTTTTTCATTTTTATTCAAGTTCATACTTAATGTTAATACAAATAAAATTATCATCTTTTCAATTTTTGAACCTGATTCCAGAAGGCAAAAAATTTAAGATGTCGATCAAATCTAATAAAACATACCGATGTTAAGTTCTTAGATTTATCATTTACTAATGCTGAAAAAACTTACAGGAATGCTATTCAAAACGTTGAACATATTGGAGAAGAGGGTAAGCCCTACAGAAATCCATTACAACAAATTCCTTTGATAATATTCTTCTTGCCCTTCCTCAGGCTGACTTCGCAGTAGCTTTTAATCCATTGAAAGTCTGTGCCATAACTCATTCTTTTTATCCTCACCAACGTCTACCAATTCTTCGCACTCTGCATTCAAGTTAACGTTTGGTCGGATAGAAACTAGCCAAATGTACTTTTGACTTTTTCCAATATGAGATAGATTGGTTTATTGGTTGATTTATCATTAATAGGGTATATGAAGACATGTCGATTATTAGCAGTGCTAGTCAAAAGAGATATATAAAATTAGTCACTTAATTGCTGTCAAAGTGATGCAGTGTTTATCTGGTTGAAAGCACATGAATGGTTGCGACTAGCTTAGTCGGATTGTCATCTTTTGTTGAGTAAAACAGGGAAAATTTTGCAATAAAACAGTCAAGATATTGTAAAGCGAATATATTTTTGCAGAAAAATAATAATTTATCTACGCATTAGTAAGTGAAAGCACTCAGGAACAGGCCAATTTTATTAATTCATTCAATTTATAGCTTTTATCGCGACCATTTCCTTTCATGACAGTCTTATAATCAAATTCATTATAGTTTGTACTTGCTCGAGTTTATTCTTTTACTTTTTAACTGCGTTTTCTGTATGCATTTGTATTAGTTTCATCATTTGCTACAATCAGTAAAAAGTTCTTGTTTGTGTTTTGTCACATTTTTACAATTTACCAATATCAGAAATACTTATAATTTACACTACCGCATCCTTCCAATACAATGCACTATACTTTTTGAGCCGAAAATACACAAGCTGTCACTCGATAGATATATTGCAAGTTTTGAAATTCTAAACTCTACTCAAAGTGAGAAGCAGTTGAGTGAAGTTGTTCCTGCTAGTGTGTGTAGTCGTGTATGCATGCGCCTGTGGTCCTGTTGTTTATTAGGAATTACTTGCAGTGGATTGAACCCAATTTGCGTCTCAAATTTAATTCATGTTAATTTAAACTGATCAGTTTCTTAATTACGACTTCACTTTTACAGATCAGAAACTATTCTTTTG